ATTACAGTATTTTGAGCAAAGATATTTCAATAGTGAATTAGTGGTCCAAGAAGTGGCTTTTCTTAATAAATAAGCAGAAATGTTCAGTGTTACAAATAGGCCCTAATAACAGCAAATATATTTACTCAATGGATGGAGTAGTATTAACCAGTACTAATACTCAAATGGAGCCAGGTGTAATAGTAAACTCAGAATTAACATGGAGTGATCACATTGTGATTTTTTCAAATTACAATTTCGACCTTCCCTAGATTTTTTTACTTCCCGAGCAGAAGCTAAGGAAGTATAGTAATCTAGTCATTCTAGTCCATCGGACGAATGGCCAGTTTCATGTGTTCTCGACGTTTCATGACCACTAGAGAATGAAAAAATAGCTCCCCATTTGTGTTTGTCATCTGTGACGAAAAAACGTCATCTCAAAATTTTGCGTGGTAAATGGTATTTAAATTTTATAAAACATACTCTTGTATTTGTGGTTTATGAAGGCGTCTTGATTGTTTTCACTACGCTTTCAGATTTTCGTAAAAAAAATTGTGTGCCTAATAATATTTTATAACAGTGTATAGGAACACAGCATCTGGTAATAAACCGAAGATTGTGAGTTCGACAACTTTTTTTTCTTACACTGTGATAGGTATTCTCTATGTTTTTACTTCCCGAGCGTAAGCGAAGGAAATATTGTAATAGAATCCGTCGGCATCTCTCTAATTATAAAACAACATTTTACAATTTAATTTTGAATCTGCAAAACCGAATGCTTTGAAATTTTGCATATGTTTTAAAGTTATGATAAGCATAATAAATCTTTGATCAAAATGTATTTGCTCATCCCCCCTAAAAAATTGATGACGTCAGCACAAAATTTTGTAGAATAAATTCTACCCAAAATGTGCAAAATATGATGAGTTTTTACTTGTGATTCATCATTGTATTCATTTTTTTTTATTAAATTAAGAACGAGTCACCCCATTTTCCCGAAAATGTGAAAATACAAACGGCTTTATTTAATAAGAATTATAATAATGATATTCAGAACATTTTGTTGATTGTAGCTTACTACTTAATAGTTTTGCTCCTCTGTTTTGAGGGGACGAACTTATTCAAATCAAACTAATGTCTACGTGACATTCTTCCGATGTATATGTATACAAACATAAACACTTTCAAGTGGTTTTTCTTATTGAGGATAACCTAAGGATGTACAATAATGGAGTCCGTCGGGTAATTTGGTACTTTCATATTTTCTAGATATTTCATACAAGTAAGTAAAGTACTAGGGAAATGTGAAATGTGAATTACAACATCAAAAATCAAAATAAAATGTAGTGTTTTATTCAATAAGCGGAAGTTAGAGCAAATAAAAAGTCTGGACCGTCGGCATTGAGATCTGGTTATTGCATTTCGTAGAAAACATCTTTTAGTTTAGTTTCTGTTTCACTCTCACGTCCACAGGTTGATATGTCTTATCGCTATTTGTCTTAAATTACTAGTACCATAAATGATTTTCAGTTCAGTCTTCAGTCGCACCTCTGTTAGTACATACGGCAGACGTGATTAAATTGTTTCGTTATTTTATTGATTATTCAAGAATAAAAATAATACAATCGTTTTATTATTAGTATTACAATGCACCTATTCAAACCGATATACATTAACACAAAATTTTGTAATAGAAAAATTCACTTGTAACAAAGTTAGACGTTTCTTTACCTTTATTCGCATATTACATAGATACATACTGGTGTTTTTATTTTTAAAATAATAAAATTCGCAAAATCAAATATTTCAATTTTTCGAAAGAGCTGAATTTGACAAGCTGTACTTTAGGGGAGAGGGAAGTTCTGTCGAAGTCATCTTCGACCATTTTTACTTCCCGAGCGTAAGCAAAGGAATTATTGTAATCGAGTCCGTCGGCCGACTCTCTACTTTTACATTTTCTCGATCTTTCATGACCCCTAGAAGACGAAGAAATAGGTCTTCCGTTTCCGTCTGTCTGTCCGTCTGTCCGTCTGTCCGTCTGTCCGTCTGTCTGCCGTCCCAGATTTTTATTAGACAGATAATCTCCGAAAGTACTGGGCCGATTGTTGTCAAATTTTGTATTTATATTAGGTATATCATGTAGATGGTAAAACGCTAACCAAAATTTGTCTAGTCATCCCCACCACTAATGTGATGATGTCACTTCAAAATTGTACATAGTAATTGGGTTTTAAATTGTATCAAATAACATAGTCTTACACATGTAGTTTATGACTCCGAATTGAGATTTTATCCGAAACGTCTAGATTTTTGGAAAAAAAATTAAAATTAGGAAATAACACTTTGACATTTAATTTGGAATCTACAAAACCGAATGCTTTGAAATCTTGCAGATGGTTTATAGTTATGATAAGCATGATAAAATTTTAATCACAATATATTTAGTTATCCCCTCCAAAAAATTGATGACGTCACTCCAAAATTTTACTGAATAAATCCTATCTAAAATGTACAAAATATGATGAGTCTCTTTTTGTGATTTATCAATCCATTCATATTTTTTGGATATGCATATACAGGGTGACCTAAAAAAATTAATGAATGCGTGAATTTATTTTATTGATTTAATTAGGAACTACAGAACCGAATGCTTTGAGATTTTGCAAATGTTTTAAGGTTATAAAGAGCATAATAAATTTTTAGTCAAAATATATTTGCTTGCCCCCTTCAAAAAATTGATGACGTCAGCTCAAAAGTTTGCTGAATAATCCTATCTAAAATGTACAAAGTATGATGAGTCTCTTCTTGTAATTTATCATTACATTCATATTTTTTGGATATGCATATACAGGGTGACCCAAAAAAATTGATGAATGCGTGAAATTATTTTATTGATTCAATCAGGAACTACAAAACCAATGGTTTGAAATCTTTGAGATGTTTTAAATTTATCATAAGCATGGTAAATTTTTGATCAAAATATATTTGCTCATCCCCCCTAAAAAATTAATGACGCCACCCCAAAATTTTGCTGAATAAATCCTATCTAAAATGTACAAAATATGATGAATCTCTTCTTGTGATTTATCAGTCCATTAATATTTTTTGGATTTGCATATACAGGGTGACCCAAAAAATTAATGAATGGGTAAATTTATTTTATTGATTTAATCAGGAACTACGGAACCGAATGCTTTAAAATCTTGCAAATGTTTTAAGGTTATAAAGAGCATAATAAATTTTTAGTAAAATATATTTGGTTATCCTCTCCAAAAAATTGATGACGTCAGCTCAAAAGTTTGCCGAATAATGTTATCTAAAATGTACAAAATATGATGAGTCTTTTCTTGCAATTTATAATTCCATTTTTATTTTTTGGATTTGGATATATAGGCTGACTCAAAAAATTTAATGAATGGGCAAATTTATTTTATTGATTTAATCAAGAACTACAAAACCGAATGCTTTGAAATCTAATGCGAAAAAAAACATAATAGGCATGCAGTCGCCCCATTTACGACAGCGAGGGAAGTACTGTCTAAACTCTTTAGACCAATTTTTTTTAACTGTTAAAGTTTTAACGTTTTTACTTTTCAATCGTAACGTAATGAAGTATAGTAATCGAGTCCATCTGTCTGTATGTCTGTCGGCTGTGTCAATTTTTTGATTAGACAAATAATCTCCGAAACTACCGTACCGATTGTTATAAAATTTTGTATGTCTATTACGAATGTCATGTAGATGGTAAAACGCTAACTAAAATTTAGATAATGATTCCCACCAACAATTTGATGACATTCACTCAAAATTTTTCATAGTAAATAGGATTTACATTTTATAAAATAACATTGTATTTGTTGTTTATGAATCCGTCTTTACATTTCCCCCGAAATATTCAAATTTTCGCAAAAAATCGAAATTGTACAACCTTTTATATTACCATAAGTGGAGTTTTCACATACGTTCGAACGTCACATAGGGTTTTTGTTTTTTACATCGTTATTTTTTATTGATTCAAGAACGGTACACACTAGTGCATTATTTTTAGTGTTACACTGCATGTATCGGAATTGATATACACTATATTTGTTGATGTATAGAGGTTACCATAAATAAAAGTTCGCAAAATTATTTTTTTTTTATTTTTCACAGAGGCGGGAGTTGGTGAAGTTGTACTTCAGGAAGTTTTGTCGAAATAAACTTCGGCCAATTTTTGGATAATGTTTGATCACATTTTTAAAAACGAGCTTTTTCGTATTCTAGAAGCTGCAAATGCTAAGAAAAAATAAAAGTAGACATTAACTGAGAAAAAACAATTCATATTCTTACTAATGATCTAAATCAAGGTTTTCATGACACGAGACGACATTTCAGTTTAATACAACATAAGGGACATTTAATTTTTAAAATGAGAATCTATGTTTTTTATTTTTCTGGAACAGTGCGAAAATTTCATTTCATCAGGGAAATTCGAACTGAGTTATTTAAATGAAATAATTTAACACAGATTTTTAGCGCTTTTCGGGCCTTAATTTCATCTGATTTATGACCTTAATTACAGTGAAAAGTTCCACAATACCTATAGGTCGGCTGCATGTCAGGATCGTAAAATAAACATTACATTACACAATAAAGCTAAAATTTAAAATAAAATAAAAAATATGTAGTGCTTGCACTAAAGCGATAAAAACAGAAACTTTACAATTAATTAAGACCATAAATCCTCCAGAAAACAGCTACTAAAGTCAAAAATGCCGAGAAACCCAGATCATGAATAATTTGAATTTTTTATAAGAAAGTTGCGTGTGTTAAAAGTGGGGTTTTCCCGTAGCCATTTGTTAACACACTACACAAAGAACATAAGTCTTACTTGTTGGCCACTTTTCTGGATCTCCTGAGTACATCACTGAAATGCTCTTTTGTTGTGGCATTTTTCAAGACGATTGTTGCGTAATTTATCACGCGTTATCGGACACATGTTAGCGTCGCGTCGGCGCAAGTTTAGCGCCTTGCAAATTCGCGCGTCCTTTTTAACATCAGTTCGCAAACGACGCCGCCGAATGACAGTGAAACATCCACTTGTGGCAAGCACAAACTTCGTGCTTTCATGAGTTCGAAACTGTAAGTTAAATGCCACTTTTTTTGCTGTTATTTTTGTATGGGATGCGGAAAGGAGAATAATTAATATGTCCTCACATAAAAAAGTGACACATAAACAAAAAGTCCAGTCACTTGTTGTAAAAAATTAATGGATGGTGTCATTGTTTGTTATTATTTTTTAATTTGTTTGTGGACTGAACAGTTTATTAAACGAACTTTGGACAATTCTTATCTTGCCACTTTTAGTTCCGAGCGGTGCATTCGTTGATTGTGTTACATCTATTTTATTTTAATATTTACATATTGATATGTCATAAATTTGTTATTTATGGGTTATATTACATTTTATCAAAATAAAACGGTGTCCAATTTCCGGATCTGCAGGGAGTAAACTGATAAGTTTCTAAAAGTGTGACGTTTATTTATACACATTATATTTTACTGATCATTTTTTACGTGAACTACTTTTCAGGAATTGTTTTTGTAGGTTAGTGATATAGATAAATAGATTTATAGGTCAATAAATAAAGTGAGCATATTTTTTTAAATTATTGCTAGGCTACGTTCATAGTGATTGTTAAGAAGAAGAAGCTCGAAATATTTAAGTCACTTGATAAGCAACTAATAGATAAACCTCGACTCTTCACTACATTCTCACATCTCTGGAAAAGTTTTTAAATTTTGATTTTGATTTTTTTTTTTAAATCAAAATGTACTACTACAAAAATTTGTGAAACTAATTGCACCTATCTTTCCTTGTCTTGGAAGCACCAACATATCATACTCGTGTATTTTACGAACGAGTAAATTTCAATTAACAAGTAATCCGAGAGTGTTATTTTTTAAGTTTTTTTTAAGAGTAATTGTTTTCTGAAAACTAGTTCACATTATAAAGCAAAAGTTTCGACTAAATTCGCAATGAACACGTATTTCAACAATGGAGAACTATTGTACCTACCTTCTAACTATTGAAACAATAATTGCTTATTTATTCGTCCAGTATAGTACCCTTGTATGGGCAGACGGTTAAGGATAATATTACAACGAATTTTTAAATATTTATATCAAAAACAACAATCTCAAATAAACATAAAAAAGGAAATCTTATTTACAGAAAGTACTCTGGATTTCCCTAAAAATATTTTGTCATATTTATCTAGTGCGAATGGAATTATTTATCAGAAAATAATATATTTGTCAGAAAATGTCTAGAAGTTATTACAATTAAAAATGTGTTTATGCCTTGCACATATTTATTATTCCAGATGTTTAATTACTAATTAGCGAAACAATTAATTTTGTTTCCAGACATACGTACATTTAAATCGAAATGTCCTGTCCTTGCCATTAATCTCTGTTCGCAGGCGAATCGATATTTTTAACAATAATAAATTATCCTAACAAAGGGAACGTGTTCCTCGAAGAAGAGAATGAGATGAAACCAGGCAATATGTCCATAATAAAATGATAAAACTTTTGCAATTTGAAACAAGTTTCAACCGAGAAATTGTTGTGAACTTATTACTCGTTATGAATATTAAAAAATTAGGAGCTTCCCGGAATAATATTTACATGCAAATGCGGAAATAATTCATTAACACTTGTTGGATTCGTTCATTTTGCACAGTTCGACTTTCTCCGACTCCCGTGCTTTTCAATTTTCCGTAAATGTACTGCAACAATCGAACTTTTTTGCACTGATTTATATATTTATGTTATAATTCTCGGATTCCTTTTACGCTGTTTGGTGAGGTTCATAATTCCATTTTCGCGAATGAGATAATATGCAAATAAAGAAAATGGAATTACCTACTTTTTGAAATTAAATCAACAAATGAAAGACAACGTTGCTGCAACACAATAGTCCATCTTCTGTTTAAAAATAAGACTTATTCAGAATGCCTCTGTATAGGCGTTAATTAAAAGTGCCAAGGATTTTGCGCGGAAATTAAGATTAACGTCTCCGTTGAATTATAGACGTAAATTACGAATATCGGACAAAACGAACAATAAATGCATTGAAGCGTGGTTTGAACGAAATAAGATAAACACGCAAATGCTTTTTCCATTTTATTCTTATTCTTCACGGTAAAAAGGTAAGAATGGCAAAAGAATCAGCCAGTTCATGTTTTAAGACAGTTTGCACTTAAGTTTCCTCGTCTTGGAAGCACCCTCAATATCACAATGGTCTGTTCTAGAAGCGAGGTATTTTCAACAAGTAACGCTCTCCGACATTGCTGTTTATTTAATTTTTTTAATGGTAATTGTTTTATGAACACAATAACACGAAAAGTAGCTCATATCATGCAACAAAATTTTTGAGTAATTCGCACTGAACAGTTGAACACGTATTTTAACAATGGCGAACTTGTAATTATTGAAACAATGACTGATTTTTTTTCTCACAGCATGGTAACTTTGTATAGCCAGATTGTTGAGATCAATATTGCAACCAAATATTTAATATCAAAAACAACAATCTCAAATAAACATGAAAAAGCGAGTCTTCTTTACAGAAGTTATCTGGATTTCCCCAAAAATATGTTTTCATGTTTATATAATGCGGATGTATTCATATATCATGAATTGAAATGTCCTGGATGTCGAATAGAAACTATATATACAGGGTGAGACAGAAAAAAAGCCAATTAGTCAAGTTGTACAGTTTTTGAGTGGAATAGTTGAGTGTCCTGTTTTAAGTAACAAGTAACCTTTTTTTAAAAGGAACACGATATATATTTTTACGTAAGCTAAGAAAATATTGTAATAGGGTCCATCGGCCGAATGACTATTTTCATGTTTTCTCGACATGTCATGACCCACATAGTATGAAAAAATAGGTCTTCCTTTTCCTGTCTGTCTGTTTGTCTGTCAGATAATCTCCGAAACTACCAGACCGTTTTTTTTCAAATTTTATATGTGTGTTGTAAATATCGTGGACGGCAAAACGCTAACGAAACATTGTCTAACGTGTAGTTTATGAATGCGTCTTCATCATCAAAAATCAAAATTACAACATTTTACAACTTAAATTTGAAATTCCTAAGTCGAATGCTCTGAAATCTTGCAACATTTTGAGATTATAGTAGTTACTTATCTTCAATTTTTTCCACTATGGGTGTAGGGTTATCTTTTACTTCTCGTTTCGCCTGAGTCCAGTTCATTCTTTTCCTCCTTAGTTTGTCAATTATTTCATCATTTTACGTCCTTCTCGGTCTTCACCTTCTTCTTTTTTCTTCTGTTATCATTTTCCATATTACTTTCACTGTCTTGTTTTTGTCTCACTATGCCCGAAGCATCTTAGTTGATTTGTTTCAATCATTTGTATAACACAGTTAATTTTGAAATATTTTCTTATTTTTCACATCTCACTTTATCCGTTCTCGTCATCCCCACAATTTTTCTTAAGATCTTCATTTCACGACCCTTAATTTTACTTTTGAGCTGTTCGTTTAAAACCCATGAATCACTTCCATAAATGAGTATTGGTACTAAAACCGCCCCATATACCTTTACTTTTCTATCATGGGATATTTCTTTCTTATTAAATAATTGGTAATATAGTATTCTGTATATCGTAACAGTTTTGTTTATTCTGATCATCACTTCTCCGAATCCTCCTCTTGTGTTTGTTATTGCTTCTAGATGTTTTATTTTTTCTATTTCTTTCATTTTCTCCCTCTGCACATCTTTTTCTGTCTTCACCTTTTCATTTGCTGTTGTCATTATTTTTTAAGTTATATGTTCTTCTGGCCATCTTTCTGTTTTATGTTTTTATTCCGTTTTGTTACTTGCAAAGATTATCGTCCGCGTAAAGTAGTTCACTTATTTGTACTGATTTTAGTTTTCAGTACCTTAGGTCGGTTCCTTCTTCCCTTCATTTATTTCCTTTGCTCTCGTGTCCATTATTATCATGAATAAAATCCAACTTAAAATACTTACTTACTCTTCCTTACTTCGTTGTTGGCTGGGAAGTTTTTAGTTGTTTTCCCATTTATTCTTGCTATATTTTCTGTTGTTTCGTTTAGGGTACCTATTTATTTTTATTACCCAAATTTTACTTCATAATAATCTGTTAAATGCTTTCTCTAAATCTATCGTACTTATATGCCCTTTTATTTTCTTTTAGTCTTCCTTCAAAAATCCCCTCATATACCTTTGAGGTCATACCTAGTAGTGATACTCCTCTGTAGTTATTGCAATTGTTGGCAATGGTTTTTACCATTTCTTTTAATTTTCCTTTCCTTTTCTTCAATGTTTTCTTCTTGTATTCCACCTTCTCTTCTTCAGCTGGTCCTAACAGTTCTAGAACATATTCTACCCGTCTTCTTCTGTAATCATATCGCCTTTTTTACTTTTTATGTATTCAATGGGGTTTCTTTTTTTTTCCTTAGATTTTTCAGTGTGCTTTTGTCTTCGTTGCTATTACGATGCTTTCAACTTTTTCTCATTGTCTTTTGTAACAGTTATAATCTTCAGTGTTTTTATTGTTATTTAAATATTTCTTACAAAGTTTTTTACTCCTCTTTAACCTTTGTCTTTGTCGTTGTTCCACCAGGCTGTTTGTCTCTTTTTATTTACTTTCCTGCTTGTTCTACAGGTTTGAGTCACAGATTCTGTGACTATAGTTTTAAAGATTTTCCATAGTTGGTCCAAATCCATTTTATTTTTTTGGTAGTCTTCTTTGACTTTTTGATAATATCCGCTATTATATATTTATATATTCTACTGTATTTTCTTCTGTTCCTTGTTTTGTTGCTTCCATTTGTTTAGGTTGTGATAACCCAAACATCCCGCCTTATATTGACATATGAAAAAAAATTGAAAGCGCACAAAAAATTCAAAAATTAAAAATTTATCCTTGGCTGTAATCGACTAACAAAATAGAGCCCTACATTGTGTTTGTTTTTTTTTGTGGCGGAATGCGTTCAGATGCAAGTGGTGGACCCCAAGCAGGGGCGGCTTGTCCTATGAGGCAGGTGAGGCAGTGCCTCACCAATGAATTTTACGCCTTATTAGGA